GAGGGTTGGACTAGATGACCCACACAGGTCCCTTCCAACCCCTACCATTCTGTGATTCTGGGCTTGAGCAAAAAGGATCAGATTTTATGTGGAGGTCCGAGTAGAAGAGAAATCTTTGCCTGTGGAGCACTTGCCCTGCTGGAGTCTGGTGCAGAGTAGTCCACTGTCTTAGTGTTTTCCTGCTGCCAGGTATCTGTAGAATCGCACCAGGCAAACTTGCTTGAGTGCCTGGGCTATGCTCATGTTGGATGTTTAGTCTGGTTTGTCCTGAGTTGCCTCCTGCTTAATTACAAGGCTGCTAGCTCTAAGCAACTACATTTCTTGCATCAGTGGTGCATAGAATTAGAACTAGTTTATCGCATCAAATCTCCTATGCGTTTTTGGACTGGAGGCAAATTGTAGCTGACAGACTGTTTTGTAAGCTACTTATGAGTTTGGAGCTCTGAGCCCAAAACTCGTCTGTATGTATATGTCCTCTCCCTTTGTTCCCTGGAGCCACGTTCGCTCGTTTCAGCTCTGAGAACTGCTGTCTTCCTGAAGCGGTGAAGAGGAGGTGTAGTCAGCAGGTAGTTGATTATCTGCCTAATCAGACTCTGTGGGAATGGGGCAGCTGCGAGCAAGCATCCCCTTGTCAGCTGAGGCTGGAGCTGCATGGTATGCTCCTGCTCCTCACTGCTGCTGGGGAAATCCCTGGCTTTGACTTACTTCCTTGCTGCTTGGCTAGAAAGGGATCTTCCTGGAGCAAAGGGAAGAGGAGAGCTGCATGCTAAGTCTCTGGATATCTCAGCAGCGTTAGCTGCTGCCTCAGTCTGATGCGTGTTTGACATCGGTGGTGGAGCAGCAGCGTTACTAGGATGGGGCTCAATTCTCAAGTGCCTGCTTAACCGGGAAGATGACATCCTACTGCTGCTGGCTGCTGTGTTAGCTGAAGTGTCAAGGACCATGTAATGGGTAGTTGTAGTCCTGCTAGTAAACCAAGTAGTGTGTAGGGATCTATGAGACGGAATGTGTTTTTTCAGTTTGCTTTATTAAACCAACCAAGCACTTTATGCATAAAAGCTCTTTAACTGCAGAGTCGAGCATTCAGAAGTTAAGTACCAAATTTAATTTGGCTGCATTGTGGGATACAGTGAATGTAGTTTTAATTTTGTTATTGCATGCTAATTTATCCAGAGGACCTGCTGCATCTTTCATGACAGGAAGGACTGTGAGCTGCGTTTTGGGGGTTTGAATGAGAATGGCTCATGGATGCATATATATGGCTTTTGTCCCATTCTCTGCAGATGTTGTCAAGTCCATAGTGAAATGAGATAGAAGTAGTTAAGGAAAGACAGTATCGAGATAAAGTAGGTCCACTAAAGTGGAGTCCCTCAGGGGTCCGTACTGGGACTGGTGCTGTTCAATATATTTATCAATGACATGAACCGCGACATCGAGTGTACCCTCAGCAAGTTTGCAGATGACACCAAGCTGAGTGGTATGGTTGATACACCAGAAGGACGGGATGCCATCCAGAGGGACCTGGACAAGCTGGAGAGGTGGGCCTGTGTGAACCTCATGAGGTTCAGCAAGGCCAAGTGCAAGGTCCTACACCTGGGTCGGGGTAATCCCCGGTATCAATACAGGCTGGGGCGTGAAAGGATCGAGAGCAGCCCTGCTGAGAGGGACTTGGGGGTACTGATAGACGAAAGGCTGGACATGAGCTGGCAATGTGCGCTGGCAGCCCAGAGGGCCAACCGTGTCTTGGGCTGCATCAGGAGAAGCGTGGCCAGCAGGTCGAGGGAGGTGATTCTGCCCCTCTACTCTGCTCTGGTGAGACCTC